GACGTCTGCTTTTGAGTCATTTCCTCTCAGATAAACCTTTATAAATAATGGATTTTTTGGCTTAGTGCCTAATCATTATCTTTCTTTTATTTTTTTTTTCCCCTCATTTTGGCAATTAAAACATTCTTTTAAGCGGAATCTGAGTTATTCCTGTGTGTGTAAAATAAAAGGCATTAACATAAGGAAAGGGAAGATAGTCCACCACCACTATTGCCACCTAACTCTCTAGACGTTAACTATGCAGTCCTAACAAAAAATGTGTCCAGAACACAAATTCTACTTCTTCTTTCGTGGCAAAGATTTGAGCCTAACAAGCTGGTTATTTTTTGAAAACTTTTAATTTGTATAAAAAGTTTAGGTTTTTGTTGGGCTAGAGGGAAAGAGAACAATTAAAAAATCTCATTACTGAAAATTCTGCTCCTTAAGTGAGAGAACATAATATTCAGTATCTTCTCCAATGAACAAGTATCAGCTGAAATAGAAAGACACTTATGAAATGTATAGATGACTGCACACAGCATGTAAGGTTTCTCCACGCAATATAAGTTTTCAATTTAAAACCTTTTCTAAAATGAGTCAATAAGGAGTTACAGCCCAGGCCTCCTACTCAGATGTGTGCCTTCAACAGCAAGCTACCTAAAGACCACGCAGCTGCTCGCTCACTTACTCTGCCCCCAGTGGGATGGGGGGAGAGAATCAGAAGGGCAAACGTGAGAAAAATTGTTGGTTGAGATAAAGACATTTCAGTAAGTGAAGGAAAAGAAGAAAAAAGTTGTAATGATGCAAAACCAATTGCTCACCATCAGTGAGTTATCAACATAGTTTCTGTCACAAAAGCCACATCACTGTATGGGCTGCTATGAAGAAAATTAACTCCATCCTAGTACAATCTCTACCTTATTCCATACCATTTGCATCATGCTCAGGTACTGCATTATTCAATATATTTGAATATATTCACCACCCCCACCTTCCCTACCCTTTGATATCTAAACAGATATAATTCCCTTCATCTATGGACCATCCCCTTTCAAATATCTATTCAAATGTCCATTCAGTTAATTTAGTCCATGAATTGGATTCCACCTGTTGTGATGGTCATTCAGGATAGGAGAGATAGTGTGCTGTGTTGGACTATTGGATCACTGCTGCATTTGTCTGGTTCCTTACAAGGTTCATCTTCCATTGGTTTGGTTGACTCCTGCTTTGGTACTTTTGACATAGAACTATGGCATCATACAGCAATGGCAACATACAACTCAGATCATGGGTTATTTTCACCCAAGTTTAAATCTCCTTGAGGTGCACATTGGATTTCTCCATCCTTTTGCATTACCCACCAAGTGCAGCCAGGTCCTTGAGCAAAAGCAATCCCATGAATGGGTTTGCCTTTTCCCAAGGAAGCTGTAGCCCACATTTTCTCAGAGTCGCTTATGTGCACTATAGGGACTTTATGTCCTTCCACAGTATGTAGGGGTTTTCTTTGGGAAGGACCAAGTTGATTAGCAGATCCTCTAGTGTTAATCAGCCAAGTGGCTTCGGCTGGATTTGTATCCCAAAACTTGAAGGTCCCAGCACCCATCATTCTAAGTATAGTTTTTAACTGTTCAATTAAAGGCTGGTGCGTGATAGGGAATGTGATAGGCCCAGGTGTCTATGAGTCCTGTAGTCTGATTTGATTCTTTCCGGAGTGCTTTGTTGCCATGAGGCTTGTTTTTCAAGGCCCAGGATGGTGTTTCAGGCAGTGGTATGGGTCACAGGGTATGTTTCTGGCCATCTGGTAATTGCTTCCACTATTGTAAGCAAGTGATATTTGCCTTGGCACATTCGTGGTAGTATGATATAATCTATCTGCAAGGCCTCCTTGTATTAATATCTCAGCTATCCATCCTTTGTGCCAGCTTTGCCTGCTTGGCTTTCTTGATTACCTTTGCTTTCACAAGATAACCTGTGCAATGGTCTCAACTGGTCACATCCACCCCTCGATCACAATGTTGCATCCCTTCCTAGATGTCCTGTTGTGTCAAGGGCCCACTGAGCAATGAATAAAATGCTGGTGTGTTATCAACACTGTTTTGATCACCAGTCTAAAACACAGCACTATACAGGCTGCTTAATTATGAAGAAAATTAACTCCATCCCAGCCAAACCCAGTACAACAACGATACCTAAAGATGAGCTGTAGTATATTTCTCTTGCCTAGCTATTCAGTTGAAGCTAAAACCACCAAAAGACAAAAGGTAAAACCTTTTCCATGGGGACTCAATTTAGGGACAATATTCAAATTATAGGCCAAATTAACTTTCCTGTAACAAGACTATGGCAGCAGTAGGTTTGATACTCTTTATCTTCTTGACATTATTTTCCTTTTCTGTGGTCTCATATTTTCTGTGGTGTTTTTTAAGTCCTTGTTGATTAGTCTGACCTTATTTATTAAAGCTCCTGAAGAAATAAATATGCCTTTTAAGAGTTCTATGGAATTTTTGCCCCTCTAAGTTATTATGGGCCTGGTAGGTCTGTTGCAGTATGACTGGTCTGAAAGGAACATCTCAGGATGAGGTTCCCATGGAGAGAGAGGGTATGAGCAGGGAAGAGGGATACCAGAAGGTAACGGTGGGAAGGAAGAGCCAGGGAAGAGTGACTACCTTCAGGCACTGCCACCATGAGAGCAGAACTATATTTGAGAGGCAGTAGATGTCCTTTTCTGGCAAGAGTACATTTATCCTCAGATTTAGGTATCATTTTGTAGTCAGGAGCCTTTTGTAGAAAAAAAAGGACTGACTTTGAAGAAGGAGGGGAAAACAGCTATGAAAAGAGCATATACCAAACTAAATTGAAGTATTTACAGCCATATAAGTTTCATGGCCAGGCCTTCTTGCTCTCAGGTGATATGGTCATATATATTTCCTTCCTGACTGCTCTTACTCGCTGGCATCTAAATTCCCAGAAAAGCCTGTGGCTTCAAACCTCACTGCCTTTTCCTTAGCCAGCCAAATGAATACCGCATTACTATACAACAGGAATTCAGCATGGAATTACAATGACTGTGTGTGCTCATGACCACATTTAGCAGAGGCCACAGCCTCTGGATAACTAAGATGGCATCCCACAGGTTTCATTTTTCTCTTCCTTACCCTCCACAACCCCAGCTTGTTAACCACAGCACGTGAATTGCACTGCAGACCCACTTGATTTACTGCCCTGAAATGCAAAGACAAAAGGCAGAAAACAACGACCTCTGAGAAACTGAATTCAGATCCAAGTGCGTCCTGAAAACAAGTTAAACTCAGCCTCCAGATAGGTCATTAAAAAAAGAAAGAGAGAAACAATTTTATGTGTAAATTTTACAAATTGAGCAGCATTTCTCTCATCTCATGTCTATCATACCAAGTAAGCACTGGTTTGTCTGCTCTGGGCAACCTTGTACATAAACTATGTATGTCATGGGGGGGGGGGCAGGCGGGGGGGGGGTTGGGGGGTTTTGGTTTTGTTTTGTTTTGTTTTGTTTTATTTTTTAAATTTCAAGCACCTGCTGGTTAGTTCTCAAAGGTGGCTAAACCAAATGAAATTAAGACATCAGAATATTTCATGCAAATTTCAATTTGGTTCAGTTTTCCAGCTGCTGATGGAACTGCCAGATACAAATACAGCCTCTTAGAATGGTAAATTGTATTCAAACAAAGATTAAGAATTAGATTTTGGGGTGTATTACTTGGAAAAGAATATGAAAGGAAAAATGGAACTATGTTTATCCTGTAACTTGGTACTGAGAGCATTTCACTTAAAATTGATTATAAATGCAAATTCTAGAATTAATGGGTTTAAGTCATTGATATGAGATCTTAATTGATTAATATGAGTGTAAAAACAGTCCTTAAAAACAGGGAAAAATTGAGGATGTACTGGTAAAAGAAAAAAAGAAAATTTTTAAAAAGCATGTTTTCAACTTTTTGTCTTTTTTTTTCCTGAGTTTAATAAAGAAGGGGCTACTCTGAATTCAGAGATTCATAATGTCTTTTATAATTGCTCATGAATGATTTTTCCTCTGTAGTGAAAAAAATGTATATTTTCTTCTTAACTACTCATTCCACACTGCCTCAGGGAACACACATTTACTCTACAAAAACAGAGCAGTTTCTATAGTTTAAAAGAAAAATTGAAGCGACCTTTTCGATTTCCTTTGATAACTACACAAATATTATCAGCATTTCTACATTACAGGAGGAAATTGCCCAGCAAAATATCCAAAGACACATTTAAAAATTTCTGTGTATGTGACCCAAACTCTTGCTTGCTCATTGGAGTTGACATTTAGTGATGATTCTATCATGAATCATCTGATGATTTTTTTTTTTTTTAAAGTATTCAGGGTGGGCACAGTGCCCTTCTCCTATGTTCATATAATATCTAACCCATTTTGGATGCTACAGGAATAGATTCAGATAGAAATCATTAATAATGTGTGAATACAGGCAGATCAGAGCTGTAGCCAGAGGCACAGGAAGATGCAATGGCAGATAATTCCCTTCCCTCTACCTTTTACGATTTCCCATTATAGACTCACTAGACAAGTGAAAAAGTCAGAGAAACCCAAGAAATAATATATGATCTAACATAAGAAGAGCTGTGGAAACTTCTTACTGATCCTTGCATGTAGGTTGCAACTCTGGTCTTATCATCAGCTGACAACTGGGTCAATTCTCAAAATGTCTCTAAAGTTGAACTTTACTCCCATAAAGAAACTAAACTTAAATCATTAGGTCTCTGTGGAAGAATATGGGTTCACACATCTCATATTCTGTAAATGTATGCCTCCACTTCTTTCTGTAATGTGAAATAATTAACTATAATTAATAGTAATAATAGAAACAGTGAACTGCAGTTTCTTTTGAAAATCTAACAGACTCATAAAGTCCTAAAATTGGTAGCCACACAGCATATTCTTCTTAAACACACTCTGGGATTTTTACCTTCTTCAGCTTGAAGTCCTAGCTCCAAACTTTTTGAGTTTGTTAAGTTGGCTGATTATGTGACAGGCAAGATTTCCTCCTGGAACCTTCTTGTTTAAGCATTATGTTTCAATGGCTATTAGCTAATGGATTGAGAAATCTATATAATTAAATGTGAAGAGCCAAATGTGAGTGGACAGTAGTCCTAAATGCAAGAAGCAGAGAGAATTGATTTATGTCCTATTGATACTGAGATACTATTTTAAATATCCTTTGCAAAAGAAAAATCATCTATTCCTTCTATTGTGCACTCTTTAAGAAATAAATATTACTATAGCAGAGAAAAAGGCTCTAATGGAGTTTTTATCTGTATACAGTCTAGAAGTGTTAAAAATATGAAAAATTATCAGCTTCCAAAATCTGATATCTTTTCAGCAGAAAAGACTCTTTGAGTTTATGGCAGGAAACAGCGTCATGAATAACTCATCATTGTTGGTGATATTTTATTCATTATTTAATAGTCCTTGGGGTCATCCCAGGATTGAACCTACTGAAAACATCAATTGTATTCCTGTAGGTCCATGTATCTTGTATATCACATTGAGTCAGGAACTTCATATGTCCATTTCTATCTCTATTTCATAAAATAATGTTTCCACTTGTCCAGTGATAATATCTTTTTCATTGCTTGTAAAATTCCTCTTTTGAGTGTCAAAGTCAGTAGCTTTGGAAAAACAACCAATCTGTTCCTTATTGACAAAATACTCAAAATAAGAATATACAATCATATTTGTGTGTGTTTGTGTGTGTGTCCACCTGTGTGTAAAGAGATCATTAATATTTTGTACAGATATTATTGCTAAACTGTTTCTCTGCTGCGTTTTTTTTTTTCCTATCAATCACAGCCAACTATGGTAGAAGAAAACACAGTAAAACCCATTCACTGGATGAGAAGACAAGTTAATATGACTTTTTTTATAATGGTCAAAATAAATAGACTGCTTGCCATAAAATGTCATTTGTTTAGCCTTCCTGTTTAGAATAAATTGTGATGACATAATCTGTCTGCTTGGCAGTCCTGTGTACTGAGACTGAGCAGTTCAGTAAGATTAAGGACTTGCCAAGATATTACCACTAGGATTTTACACCATTTTAGAGAATTTTGGGGGTCTGTCTACAAAAATTAGGCAGGAATCATTCTAGGAACACATCTCTCTGAGATCCATATTGCTTTGTTTTCCCTTAGAATAAATGACATGACCAATACTCTATACATCATGTGTAGACAACCAGACACTATTGTAAAAAAACAACAAGTTAATGACAGTGTTGCACAAAACACAAGATATGCATATGTAATACACTCCTGATGAGAGGTTCAACTGGGTTCACTGGGCTTAGACAGTGGTATAAAATTTTGCAGCTAAGACTTTGTCTTTGCAGAGCCGGGACTGTATTCAGCCCTTCACCAAGGATCTTAACAAAGCAAGATCTTCATATCACAGAGGAAATAAATTGGCTGGGGACTGACTATCCATAGCATATGAAAGAACAGATAGAGCTGACATATTAACTATGAACAATAACCCAATGCAAATTGTGATGGTTTGCACTACTGAGTGAAAAAGAAGACATATTAAAGAAAAAAACCTGAAAAGCACAAATGAGAGAGGAAGAACAACACATGCTAAGAAAATAAATAAGAAGTTTTAAATTGTTTGCTACATCAAATAAATATATTTCCATCTGAAACTACATGGAAACTATGCTTTAGAAATATTGTGGCAAATACATACTCCATAGGCTTCAGAAGAGCTGATTTATACCAGCCATCAGCAAGGTCCATTGTTTATCTCTAAAGTTTTCTTCCCCAACACATCTTCAAATAGCAGAATTGTAAGCTCAAACTGAAATACAGTTCCCTAGCTCTGCCTGGTGCTAACTTAATTCCCTTAACACTATTGGTATGTGCTATAAGTCAAACCAAAATATTGTAATCATTAATTACAAAAAAAGGTATTTAATTTAATGTAATCTACATTTATTTCATGTACGTTTTGATCTCAGTTCTCTGTGTGCTTTATTTCACACTGCAATAGCAGTATGAAAATTCTTGTAAGGAAAAAATTAGTCCTGCCTTACTAAAACAAAATGAAGACAGACATTTATTTAGAGGTAAGGTTCCCATGTAGCTGATTTTCATTTGATTTGATCATTTTCACTGTGGACTTGCCAGTGGTTGGAATACAGAAATACAGAGGATGGGAGAGAAGAAAGCTAACACAAATCTTGTCACCCTCTGGAGGACAGATCTGAAATGCATTGCTTTCCTGCCAGAGGCCAGTGAACATACATAGAGTAACTGTAGCAGTTATCTTGTGTTTCCAGCTGGAATGAGACAAGAAGCTGCCTCCAATTCCTCTATCCTAACCCACTTCAGGACAAAATCATCCAGTTTCAGTTTTGGGTTAAGCTAACCTATCTCAATTTATGTTAACACAAGCATAGAGCCCACCCAGCCAATATGACTGTGACTTTATTGTCGGTATCGCAACCTCTACCTCTACGCACTCAGAGCACAAGAGCATCCACCACATTCATTGTTTCCTAAATGATTGTGTGGTAGGAGCCTGAAAGCAGTTGGGGCTGTAAATGGGGATTTCAGGAAGATCACTGCTGCTTGCTGAGTCCCTTAAACTACACTGCAAAATTAGTTGCTTAATAATTAGAGGCAAAAAGATGTATTTCAGATCTAAATGAAGAATTTCTGACCAGAGTGAAACCTAAAGGAATTCAAGCTCTGATGTTTACCACTCAAAGTCATAGTCACGATATTGTCACAAAGATATTTACAATATCGTGCAGTCTATATTATTTAAATCTCAATCACTATCTTTTATAATTTCACGTATTTTCTGCCTGATTTTGTTCCACTCGTACTATGTTGGGAAACACTTTGGTGTATTCTCTTTCACTGCTTATATCCAGCCATAAAATAACTTCATTCTCCGCAAGTATCTTTCTCTGAATAACAAAATCAGCAATTATAGCTATTAGTCAACATTCAAAGCACTTTCCCTACCTTTTGTGTATACACTTCTGCACAATTTCTTTTGTAAGCTGAAGACTGAAAAAAGGATGTTTCAAGCATTCTGAATATTCACAGAAAATTTTTGTGCTTGCATGTAAAGTATCTGAACAACCATTCCACAGAAGATGATTTGTGATCGAAGGGTTTTTGATTTTGAAATGTAGAATATGTAATTTTTTTCATGGAAGTTTAAACTGGGGGACTATAAGCAGACTTGAAGGTCAACATTTATTTAAGTGCTTTTTCTAATTCACACCTCATTTCATGCCTGTTTTTCTACCAAAGTTTTAATTTGATTGATGACATTTGTTTGTCTGACTGTCAAAGGGCCCATGTCTAAACTGAACAGCACAGACTTCTCAAGAACCTGTATCTGCTATCTACATTATACTGAGAATTTTTCTTAAATATAAGTGGCCCTTCAAATGAGTATTTGTTACTTTTTATATGACTATTGCTGTATTACTCTTATATAAAAAATAACTGTTGTTGCTGTTATCCATTTCCTAATCTTCATTTGCAGGATTTATTCTCATTTCCTTGGCACTTTTATTTACCTTTATTGGATTACAGGTCTCCTACCAGCCATCTTCTCATTTTAGACTGCTAGTAAAATGTGTTCTTTCTACAGTTTTATACTTTCATATTCACCACACATTATTCCACAAAACTTCACTGTTTTATATTGCTTGGAATTCCTTACTTTCTCTTAACTCAAAATTTTCATTACATATAAATGATTTAAACCAAAGATACATGTCCAATTTCAAAGAATTTAAAGAATGTTAATCTTGAAGAAGAAACCCACAGTTAATTGGAGGAGATAATTCTAAATAAAAGGAATACCACATGAGGAGGATTTTATTTTCCATTACTAAAAATTTCTGAAGTTATCCATGTTGATTCCAGCTCTCTACAATATATTCTTGGTTATGCAAAGCACTTCAGAAGGGTATAACAGTCTTCATGACATAACCTCCCTTTCTGGAATTCTTTGAACCAAACCGAACTCAAAGCACCTTCTGTATGCACAATACAATGTATTATCACAAACACAAATATCACATATATTCTGGTTTTTCAACAACAGTCTAATGAACTAGGAACTTATCACAAATTGCTTCTACAAAAAGAATATGAAGATGAAATAAGTCGCATCAATGGCATATATTGATCTGTCTTAAATGCAATCACAGACATAATTTTAATATGAATAGTGCTCAGTACTTTTTTTATTATATTAAGGATGCACCATTACACTCATGAAACAGCACGGATAAGTGCATTAGCAATGAGCTCTACTGCCAATTGATAAAGATGTTAATTGTTATAATATCTATACAACAATTTTCATTAAGTAATAAGACATTATTTTCTTCAAGATAACCAAAATAAAACTTTAAAATAATGAAAACGTGGGTTGGAGTATTAAGTTGTTTGGCTTAAATGCACGTTTCTTTGAGCCTGGTATCAGTAACAACTTTGTTTATTATGTCCGCAATATGCCTTTTCATATAACTGTAACAATTTCATAACTATAAATCCTCTTGCTTTGAAGTGCTGGGTTTCCTGATGATATTATAAGTATAAAGTGGGTTTTGTTTGTTTGTTTGGGTGATTTTTTTCATTTTTTGAAAGGAGGGGAAGCAGAGACACAGATCCTTTGGAGATAAAATTGGGCAACTGTACTGCCTTCAACCCAGCAGGGCTACCATAGATTTGATTGATATATGACTTTCCAACTTTTATACTATCTAAACACACATGCATTTGGGCCTGTAGGCAACTTGCCAAAATTTAAAATATAGCCATACTAGTCAGAAGTATAGTAAATCCAGAATTATCCCCCAAACTATCAAAAGAAGGTATCCCAATCAGCTGTAAATATGGTCCATCAGCCTAGGTGTCTCAACATCCCAGCTTTATCCTCCTTTCCTCTTTCCCCTCAATCCCAGAAAGGTAAAATGAAGATATC